GCGACTCCCCAACTCAGGTGAATGTAGACTCCAAATATACTGAACTGTGTGCAGTGGCCAGGTGCAAATGCTTTCTGTTCATCTGCACATGCTGTTCTACCTGGAAAGTTCTTTCCTCCTCTTTCACCTGATTCCTACTTTTCCTTTAAACCTCAGATATCACCTGGCCTGGAAAGTCCTTCCAGACCTGACCCCATCTAGGTAGGTCCCCCCATAATCCCTATCCCTGCCTTCTATAGTACTTAACACGGTGACCTTGTTCATTTACTTAGCTCCCTGCTCTCCCGCACTGTGAGCTCCTTGCTCCTTATAAACAGGGAATGTCATCTCTGAATGAATCTTTCATCCCCACATGACACATGCCTCCAGCCCTATCTAGGACATGATATGGAATATAACAGGCACTCGATAAACCCTCAATGGATGCCCTGATGAAGTACAAGGAACATAAGCAAATTTCCTGTTTAAAAAAAAAAAAGAATTGCATTAAGTTCTTTGGGTCAACAATTCTTACTAAATGTGATTGCTAATATAAGTACAGAAAATACTGAAAACTGAGCTAATCTGCCACCACTTGTTGGTATTACCGCATCAAGCAAAGTAAGTGGAACACAGATGTTCAATAAATAGTTGTCAATGAAAAACTAAAAAGATAAATATGTGAATGCTACATTTTTTAAACTGATTTTTTTTTTCTTTTTTGAGACGGAGTCTCACTCTGTCCCCCAGGCTGGAGTGCAGTGGTGCAACCTCCACCTCCAGGGTTCGAGTGATTCTCCTGCCTCAGCCTCCCAAGTAGCTGGGAATACAGGCACGTGCCACCACACCTGGCTAATTTCTGTATTTTTTACAGTGACAGGGTTTCACCCTGTTAGCCAGGATGATCTCAATCCCCTGACCTCATGATCTGCCCACCTCAGCCTACCAATTTAAACTGAATTTTAAGATCCATTTGTCTGTTGCTGGGAATCTGTAAAGTGACCACAGATGAAAGCCATTTGAAATATCCAAAATTCAGAAAGATATTTTATATATCTTTAAGAGTTGTAGTCTTTATAATGCAAAAAAAAAGAAAATTAGATCCCATCAAAATCAAAAGTCCTTTTCACATAATATATCTTCTATTTAATATCTTAGGATTCTGTCAAATTCAAACAGCAGTGACATTAGGTGAAACATACATGCACAGATTCATCAGAGCCCCCAAAACACAAAATCCCATCCAGCAGTCAACCTGAATGGGTACTGGCGACTCAGTTAGAAGACAGTGAGCTATGAGATCAACCCCTTTTGAAGTTTTGAATCTGCACTTATAAAATGGAGCTCATGGTAACAGCCAGAGTGGTCAACATGAATGGCTCTGGGCATCTCGAGCTCCTTGTTGGAACACTCACTGACCTCTCTGATCACAAATGAAATGAGTTAACTGGACTAGAGCAATCCTCCTTGTTGAGAAGGCATTTTTCTACCCCAGAAAATTAAGAATTAAGTAACCACTATTCAGCGAGAAGGTCCTAACTAAATCTTCCTTGGAGAGTCAGTTAACTGAGACGATAGCTGTGGCAGAGATGCTAATTATCATCCAAATTGCCTTTCTTTCTCCCTTACAAGAACAGAACTCTCAGTTTCTGCTGAATCCATGACTGTCCAGCGGGATGATGCATTTCTCAGCCACCCCTGCACCTAAGTGACCCAGGGGATTATGTGACTGAGTTCTGGACAATGGAATGGAAGCAGAAGTCACCATGTGACATTTCTAGATCACAATAGTATGTTTTTTAATTTACTAATTTTTTTAGAAATGAGGTCTCACTTTGGTACAGTGGCAATCAAAGCTCACTGCAACCTCAAACTTCTGGTCTTAAGTGATCCTCCAACCCCAGCCTCTCAAGTAGCTGGAACAACAGGCAAGAGCCACCACACCCAAATGGATCACAGTTTTAAAGAGAAAACTGGTTGTCTTCCAACATTCTCTCTTCCTCCATTCTGAGGGCTAGAATGTGGATGAAGCTGATGGTGGTAGAGTAGCAGGGATAGTGGGAGCCAGACTCTAGCAAGAGAGACCCCTACCCAGGATAGAGGAGGGAAGATGGGAAAAAGTACCAAGCAAAAAGATGAAGGGAAAAAAACAGGGGTTCCTGGACGGACTTCCAGAACAAAACCACTGCCCAGAGAGGGAAATTTAACTTCTAACTTATTTGAGCCCCTGTAGTTCTGGGTCTCTTTGTTACACAGCTTAGCCTGTGTCCTGCATAATACAGTAATTATGTTCCTTAAGATGCTGTACATCTTTTAACCCCATAACGACATACAATTAACAATTAGGGAAATTAAAAGCAGAGCAGTCACATTTTATGTTAAAAAGAAATCTGTACATATTTGACATTGTATGTAATTGCAACATTTTGGAAAGTCTGACCTTGGCTTTAAATTGCAATCTTACTATTATATATAATATTAGAATATATAAGAAAACTTGGCTGGGCACAGTGGCTCACGCCTGTAATCCCAGCACTTCAGGAGGTCAAGGTGGGTGGATCACAAGGTCAGGAGTTGGAGACCAGCCTGGACAATATGGTAAAACCTCATCTCTACTAAAAATACACAAGTTAGCTGGGTGTGGTGGTACATGACTGTAGTCCCAGCTGCTTGGGAGGCTGAGGCAGGAGAAGCACTTGAACCTGGGAGGCAGAGGTTGTAGTGAGCCGAGATCACACTACTGCACTCCAGCCTGGGTGACAGAGCAAGACTCTGTCTCAAAAAAAAAAAAAAAAAAGAAAAAAAGAAAAAGAAAAGAAAACTTCAAGTTTACCATATTTGTAAATTTGTAAATATGGTCATGTATCACATAATGTCTCGCCCAATGATAGACCACATACATGATGGCTGTCCCATAAGATTACAATGGAGGTAAAAATTCCTATGGTCTAATGACATTGTAGTACAGCACAATACCCACGTATTTGTGGTGATGCTGGCGAACACAAACTGGGCTGCCAGTCATATAAAAGTACAGTGCAGACAATTACGTACAGTACACAGTACCTGGGAATTAACAACTGTCACTGGTTTATGTGTTTGACTATATTTTCTATTATTTTAGAGTGTATTCCTTCTACTTACTTAAAAAAAAAAAGGCTCAGAATTTCAAGACCAGTCTGACCAACATGTGAAACCTCATCTCTGCTAAAAATACAAAAATTAGCCGGATGTGGTGGCGGGCACATATAATCCCAGCTACTCAGGAGGCTGAGGCAGAAGAATTGCTGGAACCCAGGTTGCAGTGAGCCAAGATCACGCCACTGCACTTTAGCCTGAAGGACAGAGTGAGATTCCCTCTCAAAACAAAACACAACAAAACAGTTAACTGTAACAGCCTGAGGCAGGTCCTTCCGAGCTACTCTGGGAGAAGGCACTGTTATCACAGGAGCTCATCTTTCCATGCACGTTACTGCCCACGAAGACCTCCCAGGAGAACACCTGGGCAGTGAAGGCCAGTGATACTGACAATCCTGACCCTGGGTAGGCCTAGGATAACGTGTGTGTTTGTATGTTAGTTTTTAACAAAAAAAAGTTTAAAAAGTAAGAAACAGGCTGGGCGTGGTAGCTCAGGTCTATAATCCCAGTGCTTGAGGGGGCTGAGGTGGGAGGATTGCTTGAAGCCAGGAGTTCGAGATCAGTCTAGGAAACATAGCAATTTGTATGTTCACAAATTTGGATAGATAAATAAAAATAGGAATAAAATTTTAAAAACAAAAAGTTTTTAAAAATGGGAAAAATCTTAGAAAAAAGCTTTTAGGATAAGGATATAAAGAATATTTTTTTTGTGAGACAGAGTCTCACTTCGTTGCCCGGCTAGAGTGCAGTGGCGCGACCTCAGCTCACAGCAACCTCCGCCTCCCAGGTTCAGGCAATTCTTGTGCCTCAGCCCCCTAAGTAGCTGGGATTACAGGCATATGCCACCATGCCTAGCTAATTTTTGTATTGTTAGTAGAGACGGGGTTTCACCATGTTGGTCAGGCTGGTCTCAAACTCCTGACCTCAGGTGATCTGCTGGCCTCAGCCTCCCAAAGTGCTGGAATTACAGGGTGAGCCACCATGCCCGGCCTACTTTCTCTTATAATCCCAACAACATTTATTTCAAAACTGTGACAACAAGGACATTTTGGGGGTAATGGACATTCATTATTTTGATAGTGGGGATGATTTATAAGAGTTATGCAAGTGTTCAAAAACTTGGTGTCTATTAATCCAGGCAACTTAAAAATCTAAAAAGAAACTGGGAGGAGGGGTGGGGGGCACAAGGAAGGAGCAGGAGGAAGCAGATGGACTCAGGGGTGGGAGGTACATGTAGTTCTAGTTTCTATATTGAGCAGTGAGTTCATGGGTATTTACTATATTATTTCAAATCCACTGGTGAATGAGAGCCATGCATACACCAATGATGAGAGTACATTTGGAACAAGGAGTATGGTTAATCCAATTTTGTGTACCTAGGGTCCTAAAATGAAATCTTTTAAGATATTTAAAGTTTGTAAACAAAATGAATATTATTCAAAAATTCCTTTAAAAGTGATTGCAAATTGTTGCTGAACTTGTAAGAATTGTAAACTGGGTTAAAAACCTAAGGAGCTGGGCTCGGTGGCTCACACCTGTAATCCCAGCACTTTGAGAGGCCAAGGTGGGCGGATCACTTGAGGTCAGGAGTTCAAGACCAGCCTGGCCAACATGAAACCCCATCTCTACTAAAAAATACAAAAAAATTAGCCAGGCATGGTGGTGGGTGTCTGTAATTCCAGCTACTTGGGAGGCTGAGACAGAAGAATCACTTGAACCTGAGAGGCAGAGGTTGCAGTGAGCCAAGACTGCACCACTGCACTCCAGCCTGGATGACAGAGTGAGACTCTATCTCAAATAAAACAAACAAAAAAAGTAAGCAAATTTGGTTTTGACTAAGACACATCAGTTTCTCATAGGACACAAGTAAACACGGTACTCACTGTTTCTGAAGAGGAGGATGATCTCTGTAAATTCTCACTTTGTACCCAGATGCTCTCTGTCACAAATGCTATGTGTTCTGCTTCAAGTATAAAAGGGGACACAAGAAATAGGGTCCACTTGTTCAAGTCTTCAATGAACTGTAGAGAGGGAAAGAAACATAATGAGATTGTCACTTCACACAACTACCATAAATTTCAACCCCCTCTGAAACATACCCTCCCTGTAATTCCAAGTAACAATGTAAATAAGATTATCTGGGCAAGGCACAGTGACTCATGCCTATAATTCCAGCACTTTGGGAGGTCAAGGTGGGCTGATCATGAGGTCAAGAGATCGAGACCATTCTGGCCAACATGGTGAAACCCTGTCTGTACTAAAAATTAAAAAATTAGCTGGGCATGGTGGCACATGCCTGTAGTCCCAGCTACTTGGGAGGTTGAGGCAGGAGAATCACTTGAACCTGGGAGGTAGAGGATAGAGTGAGCCAAGACCGCACCACTGCACTCCAGCCTGATGACTGAGCAAGACTCCCTCTCAAAAAAATAAAAAATTTTAAAAAAGCTTATCTGATGCTCTTCTGTAGGCCACATGAACCCAGTGTTCCTTATTTAACTGTGACTATCTAAGCACCTGCAAAAGCCCATCTATGACTCAGGACAGCTTTAACATCTCTAATAACTGTTTTCAAGCAATGAATTCTGAAACAGGGCTTATCCCCACCATTCCTCACTGCTTAGCACATGTAAAGATAAGGAGGCTGGTGGCATGGTGGCTCACGCCTATAATCCCAGTGATTCAGGAGGCCAAGGTGGGCAGATTGCTTGAGCCCAGGAGTTCAAGACCAGCCTGGCCAACATGGTGAAATCTTATCTCTATAAAAACATGCCAAAAAAATTAGTTGGGCATAGGGGCAGGCACCTGCAGTCCCAGCTACTCAGGTGGCTGAAGTGGGAGGATCACTTGAGACTGGGAGCGGGAGATGGCAGTGAACTCAGATGGTGCCACTGTACTCCAGCCTTGGGCAACAGGGTGAGACCCTGTCTAAAAAAAAAAAAGAAAGAAAAAAGATGAGGAGGCCTAGAAGTGCATATCAGCCGACAGAAGCTCCTTAGAAGCCCGAAGGCTGCTCCTCCATTCCCTACAGCCGTCACAGTATCGGGCACGAGGCAGTTTTTCTTTCCGCCTTCCTTATAGTGACATCAACCCTGCTCCTCGCCCTGAGATCTGGGAAGCGTGCAAGTCTCTGGATGCTCACACAGCAGTCAAATCCAGAGAGAAAAGCCATTTCAGGGAAAGGCATTTACCATATGCAGACACACAATCAGACATGCTTTAACCGGAGTATCAACTCCAGTCAGGAGTGATTTTAGTTTTTTGAAAGGAAGATCAGAATCAAACTTGGATAGCAAGTCAGATATACCCATTTATTTCTTGCTTTCTTTCCTGAAATCTCTGTAAGAAAAACAGCAAATTGATTTTTAAAGGCTTTGACTTTATAAAGAAAAGAAAAAGATGAAATCTGAGCTGGGCATTCCGGGAGCTTTCACCATCACCCAAGAAAAAGGTAACTAGGCAGCTCCACCGTGCATGTCGGATCAAATCTGCTTGATAAAAACCTATTGAACTAAACAGTGAATGAAAATTTAGGGAAGAATTTGCCCCTCCCTGGGTAAACATAATTATCAATATAGTGGTTAAAAAATATGTCCACTTTATGCAGGTACAGAATGCGTATATTAAATAGACAAAAAGCTTGACATTGTCAATTTGTATAAACTATCTTTAGTTATACTTATCAACTGATTGTAGGGCATTCGATTATAAACTTATACATTCAGTATTTATGCATTTGACTTTAAATGTAGAACATATGAGAAAAGGCCAGACATGGTGGCTCACACCTGTAATCCAAGCCCTTTGAGAGGCCGAGACAGGTGGATCACCTGAGGTCAGGAGTTTGAGACCAGCCTGGCCAACATGGTGAATCCCCGTCTCTACCAAAAATAGAAAAACTAGTTGGGCATGGTGGCCTGTGCCTGTAATTCCAGCTACTCGGGATGCCCCAGCAGGAGAATCACTTGAACCTGGGAGGTGGCAATGGCAGTGAGCTGAGATCTCGGCCACTGCACTCCAGCCTGGGCGACAGAGCGAGATCCATCTCAAAAATAATACATACACACACACACACACACACACACACACATATATATATGTATGATAAAAATAAGGGCATGAGATTCAGGTGAGTCCTTATTTCAGCCCAAGCAGACTGAGGTATCCACCAAATCATCAAACTAATCATATTTTAAATCTGAAAATAATAGCAGCCAACCACAAATAAATGGTCAAGCTTTCCACCTGTAGACCTTAAACATCACAGCTTAAACCCAACAACTATTAAATTTACTCTTTCCAAGCCAGGCACAGTGGCTCACACCTGTAATCCTAGCACTCTGGGAGGCTGAGGTGGGTGGATCACCTGAGATCAGGAGTTCAAGACCAGTCTGGCCATCATGGTGAAACCTCATCTTAAAAAATAATAATAAAAATAAATTAAAAAATAAAAAATAAATTTACTCTTTCTTTCACTGAAATACTGAGTGACCATTTCAGGTCAAGCTGCTATGCTAGATGGGCTCAGTTCCTAATAAGAAAAAGATACGAACTAGCACAGGAGCTGTGATTTAAAGACTATGGGGACACAGAGCATGACAGTCCCATCTAGTCCGGAAAAGTAGGAAATGACACAGCAATATCTAACCAAAGCTGTAGGCAAAGCTTACTGTGCAGAGTGGGAAAGCAGGGTTACAACATCTCTGAAAGCAGCAGGCCACTCCTACTCAGGGCTGCGCAGGTGGGCAAGGCCTGAAAAGCACTAGTTATGGTCCGTGTCGTTAACAGCAGACCAGCGGAGTCATGAAAATCTTCAAAAGCAAAACTGTCCAAGAAAATCAGACATTTCCATCTCAATGTTTCTATATGTCCAAAATTTCTATTCTGACCTATACCCTAAATGTAATTGATCCAATTTGGAAACTACTATAAAAAGCTCACCCCTCAATTTTTTTCCCATTTTAATGAGTCATCTTTCTCAATCAGGTTAATTCCCAAGGCTCTAAGCCACACATTGCATGTAACAAATGAACTTCTTCCCCTTTTGCCTGGGTAGTGCCAGTTACGTGGAGTTGGTACTAGTTATTTCTAGGTGGTACTAGTTATGTGCATAACTAGCACTTTGGGGGACCTGAAGAAACAGTCATTCATATTCAATGTGTCATAATACATACATGGTACTAACAAGATAGAGTATATTTGATTTGCTAGTGGCACAGGAAATGTTCAAACCTGAGATAAGATTCAATTTCGATTCAATTTCCTACAGGAGCTTTAAGGTGTGACATATGCAGGAAACGTCATTTTAATGCTACAATGAGGCAACCTTCCAGAAAACACAGGAAAGGGCCAAGAAAGTGATTAAAAGCAAAACATGTTTAAATATTAATGAGAACAATGCTAGCGATGGCCATGAAATTTTGTGAACTGAACTGTGAAGCCAAGCCCATTTCCAAAAACAGCTGAATGGAAAGATCTATTGTTCCCTTTACAGCAAGGCAGCAGAGTTTGTACAGAGATTAATTGACTGGCCCAAGTCACAATGTAAGTGACAGAGTGGGCTGAACACGTAACCACCATCCTGAGCACTGGATCAAAAAAACAAAGGCTGAGTGTCGCCTGAAATTGAAAAGGTGCAAAGCCCATCAGTCGGGTGCCTACGTTGGTGAATGATGCAACTGACAGAAGACGGAGGGGAGAAAAGGGCAGTTTTTGTCACTTTGGGGACATCTGACAAAAAGCTGATGACATAGGTGGGGGGTTTTTGTTTGGGTTTTTTTTTTTTTTTTTTTAGACAGGGTCTTGCTTTGTCACCCAGACTGGAGTGCAATGGCTCAATCATAGCTCACCGTAGCCTCAACCTCCCGAGCTCAAAGGATCCTCCCCAGTAGCTGGGACCACAGGTTCACGCCACTACACGGACCTAAGTTTTTTTTATTTTTATTTTTTGTAGAGAGGAATCTCACTATGTTGCCCAAGCTGGTCTCCATCTTCTGGGCTCAAAGCTATCCTCCCTCAGGCCTCTCAAAGTGCAGGGATTACAAGCGTCAGCCACTGCTCCCGGCTGCCTACAGCTGTCTTTCCAGGTTCACCGTCACCCAAACGCCGGCTCTCAGAGAAGAGGAGGTCGGGGGCGACCCCGGGTGGGAGCTGCTGGCGTCTGGCTGCCAATCCACAGCGCGCGTCCTCACAGGTGCACGCCTAGAGCCACGCGGCCGTGTACCGCCCGGCTGGCCCGGGTCCGTGGTCCGAGTCCGGCACCTCCGGCCCCTCTCCGGGCCCCGGGGCACTCGCTCCTCCCGGGCCGCACAGGCCGCACTCAGGGCGCCACTCCCGGGCTCCGGGTGGGGACGGGGTGCAGGGCCCGGGGGCGCTTCCGGCTCGCGGGACCCGGGCCGCCCGCCCGCCCGGCCCGCCCACCTGGCTGTCGCTGACGCAGAAGACGCGGCCGCCGCGGCTCAGGCACACGCGGGCGCCGGGGGGCTGCGCGGCCGCGCCGCAGAAGGTGAAGGAGCAGCACGAGGCGCGCAGCCGCCGCACCGTAGCGTGCACGAGCGCAGCGGGCCGGCGACCCCAGCGCGCCCACAGGTACAGGTAGCACAGCGTGATGAGCATGGCCGCGCCGCCCGCAGGGCGCGCCAGTCTCGGCCGCCGGCCCCAGCGCTTCAGGCCCGGCCCCTCCCCGGCCGGAAGGGCCGCGCGGGGGTGAGGACGCGGGGGAGGCGGGGACCCGAAGGGTGACGCGGGCCATTGGAGGCTGCGGCGGGAGGGGCGGGGGAGCGGGGAGGCCGCGCCGGGGTGTGTGATGTGGAGCTCCGAGGCCGCGCCCGGGGCGGGTGGTGGCGGCGAGGGGCAGCGCCAGGGCGAGGGGTGTGGATCGGGGTCAGGGAACGCCGAGGCTGCACCCGGGGAGGGGCTCAGGAGCGGGTGGAGGCCGGGGTGAGGGGCCGCGCCGGGGCTGGGGAGTGGGATGGGGAAGTTGTAGATGCGGGGGAGGGGAGGCTCCAGTGGCCGCCCGACCTTT